AATTCATGCAGAAGGGTAAAATGGTAATTTCTTGTTGGTCACATGGTTCTTTCAGTTTAAAAAAAAAGAAAAAGAAAGGGCATTCATTCGTACAGTACTTAATCAGAGTAAATGACTATTTTACCCTTCTGTCTAGCAATGATGATTGTTCCTTTGAAAACTGTTATAAACTGAAAATTGAACACGAGAATAATTAAATAAAATTTTGAAATATCACCCAACATTACTATATAATGATCTTTAATTTTCAATGATAACTAGTTTGATAATATATGTTGATTAGTACTTGTAATTGCTGTTTCCACAACATCATCAGGACATTGTATTTTTAAAAATCCACTCAATTATAGCAGTGAAAATTTGCTTTTTATTTGGATGACACTGCTATAAATATTTTCAAAATACAATCCCTTAATAGAAAGACCTGAATGTAGGATGCTATAATAAATAATTAATAAATACTCGAGTAAATTACATGAATGGTCCCTATGGTTTGGGGTAATTTGCATGTTTGGTCCCTAACTTATTTTTTTAACTCGGAAGGTCCCTATTGTTTGTTTTTGTTGCGCGCTTGGTCCCTGTCTTACCTAAAAAGACTATTTTGCCCTTGATTTTTTTAATTTATTTAAATAAACACACCCCAACCCCACTTTTACCTCATCTTACCTTACCTTACCTATCCCATCTTATTTAAATAAATTAAAAAATCAAGGGAAAAATAGTATTTTTAAGTAAGACAGGGACCAAGCGCGCAACAAAACCAAACAATAGGGACCTTCCGAGTTAAAAAAATAAGTCAGGGACCAAACATGCAAATTACCCCAAACCATAGGGACCATTCATGTAATTTACTCTAAATACTCCAAACTTTTTTCCCACTTTCAGCATAGAATTTGACCGAGACAATGAGCTTTTTGCTACAGCTGGAGTTTCACGACGCATCAAAGTCTTCGAGTTTGCCTCAGTAAGTGATGCAGAAAGACCGATTTACCCTTCATTTCATATGTACTCATCCGCATCAACGGTTTTCCAGGTAGTGAATGAACAAGCTGATGTTCAGTGTCCTGTGGTGGAAATGTCAACACGCTCCAAACTTAGCTGTTTGAGCTGGAACAAATACACCAAAAATTACATCGCCAGTAGTGACTACGAGGGTATAGTCACTGTCTGGGATGTAACCACTCGCCAGGTCATCATTCTTTTGTTGACTTTTTTATCAAAGCTTCCTACTTTCACTAAAGGATGCTATATTAGAGAAAGAAAATACATTGCTATTTATTGCATATTTGTTATATCGGTCTAAAATCTTAATTACAAATCTTGCCACAGAGTGTAATGGAGTATGAGGAGCACGAGAAACGAGCATGGAGTCTTGATTTTTCACGTACTGAACCTACAATGCTAGTGTCTGGAAGCGATGATTGTAAGGTATATCATTTACTCATTTTTAGGGTTAAATGTAAGAAATAGCAATTTGCTTTCATTGAAAAATGGAGTCTTTAAATTTCCTTTGGAAAATCTATCAAAGTATAGCAATCTCATCGAAACAACTTTTACTATTATAATTAGATAGATTCTTCAAAGTACAATGTCCTAATAAGAAAAAGTCGAATGTACATGCCATCATATATAGCAATGTAAGAAAATAAAGTAGGATGCTATGAATATAATACACAAATAAATTAAAAGTATGTTGCTATTTCTTATGTTCCTAAACAGGTCAAGATATGGTGTACAAGACAAGAGGCAAGTGTCCTTAACATTGACATGAAAGCAAATATTTGCTCTGTGAAGTATAATCCTGGATCTAGCTTCCATGTTGCAGTAAGTTTGTTTCAGTTTTTTCAAATTTCAACCTGTGATTAGATTATCCAGTAAATTACATTTTTGTCCCTGTGCCATAGTGATATTTTCTAGATCTGGTTCAACAAGGAACCTTTTTTTCCTTTTTGGTATTCCCAAACACTAAATGATCCCTGTGATTGAAGCAATGAATTAGCAACCAAAAAGGAAAAAAAAAAAAATCCTCTTTGGACCAAATCTGAAAATATCGCTATAGCACAGGGACTAAAGATGTAACTGTAAGTTAATTTCAACTATATACATGTCTACCTTCACTTATTGGGAATGATTTTTATTATGGCATTTAGGTGGGTTCTGCAGATCATCACATACATTATTATGACTTGAGAAAAATAAACCAACCGTTGCATATTTTTAGTGGGCATCGAAAAGCTGTTTCATATGTAAAATTCTTATCCAATTATGAGCTTTCTTCTGCATCTACAGACAGCACATTACGCTTGTGGGATGTCAAGCAAAATATCCCAGTAAGTCTCTCTTTCTTTATCTAACAAATTAAATTATTTTTTTACTGATTAGCAACAAAACAATATCTAACATATATTTATCTTCCATCTTACTTTTAAAGCTTCGCACATTCAGAGGACACGTGAACGAGAAAAATTTTGTGGGTCTAACTGTAAATAGCGAATATATTGCATGTGGCAGCGAGACAAATGAAGTCTTTGTATACCATAAGGTTACCTTCCAACCTTAGACTCTTTTTGTTTCTTACAGAAACTAAAAAGTAAAAGTTAGCTTATAAGCTACTTTTTGGTTCACCTAAAAAAGCTCAAAAAATAAGCTAGCTTTGAGAGTTATAGGCCTTGAATTTAATTGGAAACATTTATAGGCCATTTCAAGGCCAGCAGCCTCGCATGGATTTAGTTTGGATGCAACTGAAGGAGAGGAGCCGGGGTCATACTTCACAAGTGCGGTTTGTTGGAAAAACGATAGCCCCACAATGATAACTGCAAACAGTCGTGGAACCATTAAAGTTCTTGTTCTTGCCGAATAGTAAGTAAGTATATAATTATGGAACTAGTGTTTATACATTTTATGGACCTTTGAAAATATCGTATTTGTTTTTATGTTTTTTTGTTTAATTAAATATGATTCAATCATTTTCAAGCTAATTTATATGGCTTTTACGTTGAGTGTTGTTTAAAAGTAGATCCAAATCATGAATCGATGGAGTTTATCCACCTTTGATTTTATACTTTATACTTTATACTTTATAGTTAGGTAATTTTTATACTATTATATAATAAAATGAAAAAGGATAAATGTTGAAGACATCCGTTGGATCTATTTTGAGATGTTACCTAAGAGGTGGGTCTTGTCTATTTTGTCACATTTAATCATAATTAAGATTGTCTGTTTTGTCACGTTTAATCATCATTAAGGTTTTATTATAATATATTATTTACGCATATGTTTTTGTTTTATGAACTACGGTATATTTGTTTACAATTACGGTAACTTGTTTTCATTTATAGAGAAACTACTTACAATTTTATGATTATGATATATTATTTATGTAGAGGTTAACTGGTTTATATATATGAAAATGTAAATACAATTGGACTTGATATGTATGATTGTCTTGTTAAAAAAAGCTACGATGAAGCATAAAAAAATATAATCATATTTATTATCAAAGTATGCATAAATACTATTATCGAGACACATTTAGTTACTAAGGAATAACCATTGTGTCCTATAACCACCTCTTGATTATCCCATGAATCTGAATTTGTGTAACCCCAAGAATAAAGGCCGACTTAAATATTTCAGAAAATGATTTCAAAATACGATCCAAGAGAGTATCAAAGTTATTCTAAAACCCTTAAATTCTAACAAGATATAATATCATAATATAATCATAAGTATGTTTAGAGTTGGGTGAGACAAACACGTAAGGTTAGGGGTCAGCATGGTCTAGGAACTAGATTGAACTAGAAAATCGAGAGGACCAAAACTAACGTGGATTGAAACCGAAATTCAAGAAATAAGAAAATCGAATGATATTTTTTGTTAACATGTTCTCACATATGTAAGGTATTACACCTAACATGATATTCCAAAATGTTGTTGTTCAACTCAATGTTAAAGTGGTTTTGGGAACACTAGGGATTTAAGGGCAGCACCCCGGTCGTCCTTGTGGGGTGTGAGATAACTCCAAGTCCAGGATCCATATTGTATGGATATATCTGTTCATTTATGCTCTTGTCAAAAACTTAACCAATACATTTGTTGAGAACATACATAACATCCCGCAAAAAAAAAAAAAAAAAAAAAAAAAAAAAAAAAAAAACGAATTTAATTGTCTAGTATCTTTATAAATGCATAACTCAGGTCTTGCAATATGGTATTTTTCTTAAAGGTTACTCTGCCAAAATCTTTTCTTAAAGAACAAAAACGAGGCCAAGGTATTATGTGTTCTTAATCTTATAGTTTGCATGAAATCCATATTACTTCTTTATAAGAAAAAAATATATATATAGTTACTGAGTCGAACTCACAGATTTTAAGAAGTGTTTTCACTCTTTGAAATATCCAAATTATTTATTATATTCCGAACCAAATTTTAACATTGCATAGAAAATCCTTGTGTCATATGTTTTTTTTTTTTTTTTTTTTTTTCATTTATTATCTATATTTCGTCTTTGCAATGCACATTTGGTCTACACCCTAAAAGGCATTTCTTCCCCATTTGTGATACGAATGAGGATGTTATCTTCTTTTCCACCTTCCATCTCTCTTTATGCTTGTTGAGAATAATGTTGGTCATTTAGCTTATATTAAGGATTTTGATTTAACAATCCCTTTGTTAAACCATCCCCAATTATACGGTCTCTTTACAAAATAAATTATGGTTAGATAATTTCTTTATTTTTTACTTAATTATTATTTTTATCTATTTAAATGTTTATAATTATTGAACTAATAAAATAATTTCTTTATTTAAATGTCGTGAATATTATTAAAACCACGACCTAAAAGGAAAAATATCCGGGAAAAAAACAACAAAACAACTTACAAAATGTCAAAATGGGAACAAATCCATAATTCTCATTTATAATTTCCAAAATTACTCATATGCTTCATCAAACTAAATACCACTAAAAGCACATTATCCGCCAACTTTGGAGAGTTCACTCATGCTCTGTTAAACAAAACGTCATTCCTTGTCTTCCACATACACCATAAAAAGCCACAACAAGTTAAAATAAATATTTCCCTCTTTTTTGGACAATTTCTCCATGTGGCTGCGAAATTAACGAAATTTGAAATCAAACGAAACCTTTGGAAGGGGATGCCACACCAATTGAAAATCCAAATTAGAGAATCAACAGCAACAGGACATTCCAAGAGACTATGATGCACAATATCCACACCGTTGGAACACATTTGACAGGAGGAAGATGAAATGTTGATACCTCTCCTGGACAAAGCCATCACCATAGGAATATGCCCCATACATGCCCACCAGACAAACCTAATACACTTGATACGAACTAAATGAAGCCAAACCGGGGGTTATTCACCGGATAGTCAGATTACTGGCAATAAGAGCTCGAAGATCGCTCACACGAAAGATGCCATTTACAGCTAATCTCGATCTCCATGTGTTTGGCCTGCTGGAATATATATATATATATATATATATATATATATATATATATATATATATATATATATATAATTAAAAAAAAAGTTACATATATACATAATAATTATATATGATGATCATTTCCTACAATACCAAACGAAATGGAGACAAACAACACCCTGTGGTGGATGATATGTCACCGCGGTGGTGTGGTAAACACAACACCGCCCAAGGCTATTGCAGTAGCTATACTGTAAGTCAAGAGATTACCATATGACAAAATCAACTCAACACCCCTCAGTGGTCATAAATGGCTACTTTTTTAATTTTTTATACCATTATAACACCAATTCCATATCAAACATTTCATACAAACACAATACATTCTATCACACAAAGTACAACCCTTTCTACTCCAAAAATGAATCTCAATAACACTCTTACCAATCTCACCCCGGTCGAAACAAATTGCGGATTAGTGGTTAAGAACACTGATTGTAAACATTTGTCTTTTCGCTCCTTCGATTTACCCACCACAACTTGATCTCTCTATGATTTTGCCCCGACCCCGACCCAACACTTTCTTTACCAACAAATAAAACATCAATATTACACCATGCAATTCCATAATCCAACCTTATTCCAAAAAAAATCTCTCTACCCAAATACATTCCAGGAAGACAACCCCCCAACATCGGAAGTCGAATTTTTCTAGAAACCAAACTATGCAAATCCAAAAGACAAGGAAAGGAAAAGGCACCTGTTAGAAAAGAAAAGTCGACACTTTAACAATGGACAATGAAAGAAGATAAAAAAAATTAATGGAATCATAGGTCAACATATTGGATGATCCTATAATTGGGAATGCAGAAAAAGAGGATCATATTTGGCGACGTATTAAGGAGCAGTTTTTATATCGTTATGTGTCCTGGCGAGTACCAGATAAAAGAACAATGTACTAACAAGTTTCACGAAATGAACAAAACGTTTACAAAATTCAATAAGACATTCGTCAACTTGCTACATTAACAAAAAATCGGTGAAAACGATAAAAACAATTTTCCAAACGATGCTTGAACTTTATAAAAAGTAAAATAAGAGGCCATTCAAGTATATCTAGATTTGGAGTTTTTTTATCCGCTCTCTCAAGGTGGCAAAAATGGTATGATAGCAAAGAAGGTGGTTCAAAAATAACCAAGTTTCCGAGACGATTTACACTATTTCATCGGAAGCTCCATTTGGTCCTAACTCTTAATGTATTTGATTTCTAAAGCATCAAGTTACGCCACTTACTGCATTAAGAGCGTGTTTTGCATAGAATGTCAACGCTTTTGAAAGCATTTGGAAACTTCTAGCTTTTAGTTTTTGACAAAACGTTATAATTTAAATAAAAAACTTTGTTTGGTAGTACATGTGTTTAACTTTCAGTTTAAACAAAAAACTACAAATCTAAAAGCTACATCATGTAGTAGGGCGTATTCGACAAAACCAGCTGATAGCGTTTTGTTAAATGCTACATGAAGAAACATTTTGATTTGGAGTTTTTTGATTAAACTAAAAGCTAGAAGTTTGTAGCATCAAACAAGGCTTTCTGTTCAAACGAAAGAAATGCATCAGTGAGTGAAGATATTCCTCACGGAAAGCTAAAACTCTCCGATCAGTTCAAAGTGAAGATAAATATATATACATCATCTGCATCTGCATCATCTTTACTGAAATTCCAAATTTTAACTTGATAAATTTCTATTCAAAAAGATTGTAAACCAGCACCAATTAAATCACCAATTGATATAAAGAAAGAATTACCAAAAGAAATCGAACGATGAAAACAAAACGATCGAAAATGCATCAGTGAGTGAAAGATTCCTCACGGAGAGTTACAACTCTCCGATCAGTTCAAAGTGAAGATAAATTAATACACATCATCTGCAACTCAAATTTTATGCTAAAACTTCGATAATTTTGATCGAAAGGTTTGAAAACGAGCAATCGAATCGTTAATCGGTAAAAAAGACGAGTGAAAACATGTTACTTCGTTCAGATCATCGGAACCGCATGAAAATTACTGAAATTAACGAAAGAATACAGTAATTTTTAATAGATGTGATGATTGGAATTGCAGAATAACGCTGAAAACAAGATCCTAAGAATCGAAAGATTATAATTACAAGAACTAAAATCGAAGCAACGAGGAATTCAAGTTGGTAAAAAAAATAGAAAAAGAATGAGATTTGCTGAGAAGCGAGAGACCGAGATTGCGGCTAGGCATTTGTTTTAGTATTTATAAACGAAGAAAAGACAACCCTAAATGGCCCGTTCTTGTATTTAGGGTTGGGTAAATTTTGTGAAAGAAACGATTTGTTCTGGGATAATTACATATAAATATCAGGTTAATCTTTTATTATTATTATTTTTTTTACGGATTTTAGGTTTATTAAAATTGGATATTTGTAATATTGTCAATTCTATTAGACTGTAAAATCAAACATTTATGTCACACTTAAAGCTTTAATGAACCGGAAAATCAAACTTAAGGCTACCCGGTATGGGAGGTTTTTCACGCGTCTTGGGCTGAGGTGACAGCCTCTCCCACGCATGAACACCGCCCCCTAAGCCGGTGGGTTGTGCGTGGCGTGGCTTCAGAGACGTGAGAAGACCGAGCTTCCTATTGGCTTGCTTTTTTTTTGACCATTTGCCCCTTAATTTTGTTGGTTTTTCTTTTAATCATCTGAGTAGAAAAAAAAAAGGGATATACCCGTTTTCCAAAAATTGAGTGAAGAAGACAACCAAATTGTAAACGGGTTTTAATGGAACTTACAAATTTGGTAAGGGTAAAAGACCATTTTACCCATCGAAGATCTCAGTTACTCACATTTGGTCAAAACTCTAAAAGTCAACCGAAGTTAAACTTGGTCAACAATCCATGTTGACTCAACTTGATGAGTGCATCAGGAGGACTCGTCAAGTCCCCTCGTTCCCTCAGAGGCCTTATGAAAACCAACTCTACTCGTCGAGTTGACTCGCTAACTTGACGAGTTACATCATGCTTAAACTTATCGGAACAAACATTTGTCGATCCTGGGCCACTTTCATTCTTTCTCGTATAATTTGAATCTTATCAGTAGTGTCTTGAATCATTTCAGGGCCTCCACGGATTTTCTGTCCTATATCACACCAACATAATGGAGTGTGGCATCTGAGACCATATAATGATTCATATGGTGGCATTCTGATTGAAGCGTGATAACTGTTACTATACTAAAATTCAACAAGTGGTAAATACTTGTCCCAGTTACCACCGAACTCCAAGATACATGCACGAAGCATATCTTCTATTGTTTAGATTGTTCTCACCGTCTTGACCTTCTGTCTAGGGATGATAAGTTGTTCTAAGAGAAATTCGAGATTCCAATTCTTGTTGCATACTCGATCAAAAGTGAAGCGAGTATCACAATTGGAACTAATCTTTAGTGACACACCATGTCTCTCCATAATTTCGTCCAAGTATACTTGTGCGTATTTCTCCATTGAAGTCGTTTCCCGTATGGCGAGAAAATATGCACTCTTAATCAGCCGGTTGATAATTTTCCAAATGCTATTATTCATATTTTTCTTCTCCTCTTTCAATGTATTAACTGTATAAGTCGGATAAGTAGAATATCTCTTCGATATAAATTTATGAGTTTTTAAGAAAGAAATTTATTATTTCACCATAGACATAAATAGAATCCTAGTAGGGATGCACACCATCTTTTCGTAGCACAAGAGTTCTGCGTGGTTCTTTATCAATCGATCCATGTCATGAATAATATCAAAGTTGGGCAAGGAGATAAGAATTAGGTTTAGCAAGAAAATTATAACCATTAATTTCTATGTCACTATCTATATAAACTTTATCAGCAAATAATGATACCCTTCCTACGGTATCTTCATGTAACAATTGGAAAATTGCATAATAAGCAATTTGAACAAGAATGTGCGAGTTTATAACGCACAAAAGAATCTGAGGCATCGAAATCAATTAAGATGTGAGTAGATCTAGGGTTTACGAGAAAAGTACTAGTCACTACATTCGGGTCCTAATCTTTGAGTTAAAGATCAATTCTCATTGTAGAGTTATGCTCCTTCTTGGTGTATAGACTAAACTCAAGATAAGATCTTTACTTTTGCTACAATAACTTGAATGGTCATATTCCAATGACTTTCAATATTTTATAACGCACAAGACACATAACGAACCAAACTCTTGTATTAAAATCAGATCGAATAAATCGAGCTGATGGAATAGAGAAAACAAAGAGAGTTTGATCAACACGTGGATGCTTCAAAATAGAATGAATAGCACCACGTATCTCTAATTCATGCTTTCGGACATACACATCAATTTTTTCAAATGACAAAATATTTCGATTGATTATGAAATCATGGATTTCATACTGTAATCCTTTCATGAATAACTAAATTCTTTATCGCCTTCATGACAGGTAACATCTCTAGTTAATGGTTGCTCAATTCTTTAATGGAGATCGTTATATTTCTATCGACCATCTTCTTCTTCTATCTTTTGACTGAAATTTCATCACTACACGAGACATGGTTCTCTAAACCAATCAACTCACTTTGTAGATTTATATTAATCAGATTTAATTCTTTATGACTTTAAGATTTGAACGATAATTATCTTCTTAGTCATTACCGAAACGAAGGTAACGACAGACATGAATAAATCAGAATCATTTACTAGCTTCTTGGTAACCTTGTGACTTTCACTGATCCAAGCGTAAGTCATGTGCTTCCGATAGTATAGGCCTCTACTACCATTCACACTTACTCATACTCATCCCACGTATTATCTCGCAGTTTTCTAAGTCACCATTCAAAATCACAAAACAACTTATGAATGTGTTCAAACAAATACATACAACAATTTCTCCTAGACTCAACTAGGGTTTTCACGTTTCTATCAAACATATTTAGATTTCCTAGACTTGTCTTCTAGAATTCTTCTCACGTATAAGCTTGATCTAGCATATTCTAATACTTTTTCATAGGTCGATAGAATTTTACTTCCAATTCTTCATATAAATTCTTTCTTGGGTAGTGTCTACTCTGCAAGACATAAAACACCCAAAATTTACTCTAGCAGTGTAGAGACAAATGGTTTCCAACTACTTGCATCATCTTCTAACTCATGTAATTCACCATATACATTTGTTGATCCATTATCCTTCCATGACATCGTCATTCCTGTATTTGAGTAAGTCTTCTTCTTATGGTTGTATCTTTTAAGTCTACTTCATAGGAGTTTATCCTAAGAAGTCTGCATTATAGCTGCATCTCAACAAGCTCTACTAGCTTCAAATTGGTTCTCTAACATTCCTAACTACAACATTTCTTATTATACAATACTATGGGTGTATTGTTTCTTCAACTAAGCATTCTACCTTACTTAAACAAGTAAGTTACTTAACCTTTTATTACTAAATAACTTAATTCACCATCCTAATTATGCATGTTAAAGTCGGCTTAACACACAATAGACTTTTCATAAGGATGTGATGGAAGTGAATCATCACTCAGTATTATTAAATACTAAGTCTGAACATCTTGTATAGGGTTACTACTCGAACTACATACTACATCACAAAGTCTTAGCTTATTGATTCTGTAAACTTCATTAGCCTTTCCTTTGATCTTCATTTAATTCTTCTAAATCTTGTACCACATTAATTTCAATACTGTCGAAGTATTTATCACCAACTTCGGTCTTCCGACTCTATAAACAATCACTACTTCAATCTAGATAGCGATAGAACAACTTCATGGATTTGTACCAACACATTTATCTCGCCCAAACGTGTTTCAAACGCACATCTTTTTTCCAAAAATGTTATTATATCATCAAACATACTTTAAACGTATAATACCCCTTTATTGGTATTAATACACTATTTACAATAACACTTCATATTTATTATTTTACGATATTCCGTGATCGTTTATTTATAAACTTGTCGATGTCAGACCTTAAACTTTCTCAAATAATACCAAGATAGATATGAAACCTAATGCATGCTATATTTACTTATCATTTAGCACTTAATAAAATATAAGGCATATCTCCTCTCAATATTCTAGTGCTTTTCCTCATTAGGTATACAACCTAAACTATACTAGATACATATCGTATCATCTTCACTTAACAATCCATGTTTAAATCTAGAAATTCTTAAAATTCCTAGTTCACATAAACTAATTCTCTGAAAATTTTGAAGTAACTTAATATCTTAGAATACTAGGGTATATCACTACCCAATACCCCACTTAAGTATTTCCTATGGTTTGTATCCCTATACGTACTATGAATCCGTTCATATATTGAACTTCCAACAATTTAAGCCTACATACCAATCCGTGGTATTTAGTTCACTTAAACTGTTGTTCTGATACCGTGATTGAAAGACCCGCACTTTCGTATTTCTGAAAGACCCAAACTTTCATACTTGACAATATAGTTACTCCAAAACATGTTACTTGCATATTCATAAAAACAATATTTTACATTGATAAAGTAATTACAAAAGACTGGATGCAAACCGACTATTACAAAGTGTTATATATTACACAATTATCCAGGATACTATACTTTTATACATCCTTGAACATTAAATACAAAGAAATAGTATTAACTATTCTAAATCTTTCAAACACAGTATAAGACTATACTGGATGATGATCACTTGCATTTGTTAAACATTGAGAGGGATAAGCGATAACGCTTAGTGAATTCAATAAATAGATACAATATAATCTTATGCCATATATATACCAATACGACAGAAGCAAAGA